GTCAGATTCCCTGGAAATGGAGTTACAGACAGGTGTGCGCTGCCACGTGGGTGCTGGGAATTGAACCCAGGCCCTCTGGAAGAACAGCCAGTGCCCTTAACCACTGAGCCATCTCTCCAGACCCACACCCAGCCTTCTTTATGGCCTTCCATGTCCCATGTTTATTTACCTCCACTCCTCAGCTTAATCCCTCCTCCCTCCTCCTCCCTCCTCCTCCTCCCTCCTCCTCCCCGCTCTCCATTCCTCCCTCTTCTTTCCTTGAGCCTCCGACACCCCCTTTCTTCCTTCAAAACAAAAACTGTGTCTTGAGCCTGGTGCCTATAACCCCAGGACTCCAGAGGCTTGAAACTGGGGCGCGCATGGGGGGGGTCACCTCCCTTCTTCTCTCCTTTCTCCTTTTATTTTCCTTTTTTTGGTTTTTCTTTTGCATTTGTGTATGTGTCTACACGTATACACACATGTGTGAGCATGTGTGTGTGCAAGTGTTTAAGCACACCTGTGGAGAGCAGAGATTGATGTTAAATGTCTTCCTGGATAGCTGAGGGAGGGTCTCTGGATGAACCGGGCGCTCAGCAATCTGGATACTCTAGCTAGCCACTTGACCCCAGGAGCCCAGTCTCCACCTCTCAACTGGAGGATCACAGGCAGGCCTCCATTCCTGTCTGGATTCCACACGGGTGCTGGGGATCTGGACTGAAGTCTTCACATTTGGTGTTGTAGAGGCCACAAGAAGGTGTCCGATCCCCTGAATCTAGAGTTACAGATGGCTGTGAGCCACCATGTAGGTGCCGGGACTCAGATCCAGCTTCTTCGCAAGAGCAGCAACTACTCCCTAACCACTGAGCCATCAGTCCCTTCCCACACTTGGTCTCTGAGCCTTGTCTCTACTGAGCCATCACCTCAACCACACCTCCCTGTTTTTTGAGACAGGGTCTTACTTTGTAGCCCAGGATAGGACTGAACTCACCAGGTATCTTAGGCTGGTCTTGAGTTCCAGGCAGTCCTCCTGCCTCAGCCTCCTGAGTGTTAGAATTACAGGTGTGAGAAACCACACCCTGCTATTTTGTCCTGTTGTATCCAGGAGGTGCTTACTAAATGTTTTCAAACGCCTCCAGACTTTTTCAGAAGGATGAATCTGTGTTCCCTGCAGGTTTAAGCTTAGCAGGTAAAGGGGACAGGGTTGAGATGGTCACAGCCATCGTCGGACAGGCTTATTGGTCAGTTATAGTTGGTTGACTGAGGGCCTGGCTCTGACACAAAGCTCTCACTGGATTCTTTGGTTCTCCTTTAGGGACCCAGTCTTGAGCATCCCCCATGCAGAGGGAGATCAAAGGGAAACCAAAGGTTAGTCTTCACCCCGGGGCACCCCCTCACCAATTCTCTCCCACCTTTCCATCGCTTTCTCCTTTAGGGGTCTGGGGTTGAGGCCCAGCTCCAATCAGATGAAGGCGAAGAGGGAGACTCACCCGGTAATGCAGCTGGAGCCAGGACCTGGTGTTAAAATGGCTGACGTCTGTTATCTCAGCCATTATAGAGGCTGGAAGATCCCCCACAGCTTCCTGGGCAGCCTGGTCTATGTACGCGGCTCTAGGCCAGCCAGGGAGCCAGCAAGGGAACTGAGATACAGTCCCAGAAAGAGGGTGGTGGTGCTGGAGTGTGGGCTCAACAGTTAAGAGCACTGACGATTCTTTCAGACTTTGGTTCGCCAGGCACCTGCACTCACATGCACATACTCACACACAGACCCCCAATTATAATTAATAAAAAATAAATCTTAAGTTTTTAAATCTGTGAAAATTAGAAACAAAATCCAGCTTGCGGAAGGGGCTCGGGTCTGTAATTCCAATGATGGAGGCTGAGACTGGAGGATGGCTTGAGGCTAGCCTGGGCTATAGAGTGAGAACTGTCTTAAAAACCCTAAAACCAAAAGGAAAGGACATGAGGGTGAGGGGGGGAGCCTGTTGAGGGGTGCTGTGGGAGAGGGAAGGGCGAGGTGGCTGGGTGGGTAAGATCAAGCAAGATTCATTGTATACAAGTGTGTAATTGCCAAAGAGTAAATAAAATATATTCTGGAAAAAAACTCAAAACAGAGATTCATAGAAAGACTGAAAATGAGAAACAGGTGTAAACAGAAAACCGTGCAATCATGTGGTAAACTGGGGCTTTCGGTCTCTTCCAGGGGCTGTGGCTTCCACTGGCCAGTGGTTGCGTCGGCAGAAGGCTAAAACTACATTTCCCAGGAAGCTGTGCGGTCGGAGTTTGGGCCCACCAATCAGACGCCTTAGCGGGAAGCTTGAATGAATTTATAACCAGCGTGTATAGGGACGGAGAAGCACCCTGGAGGTCGTCTCTAGCCAGTGTGGATCGTTGTCGCACTGTCCGCCAGCGCTTCCTGTCACCTAGGGAGAGTAGAAGCTCACCTGGGAGGTTCTTTTCTTGTCTGTCATTTTCGCCGCCCCGCCCCCTCCTTCCCTTCCTTCTCCAGGGTCTTACAGTGATGCTTGGGCTGACCTGGACCTCACTGCACAGCCCAGGACGGCCTAGCACTGTCAACCCCCAGGCTCAGCATCCGGAGTGCTAAGATTGCTCGTATCCTTGCTTCTCTCAATGGCTTGGCTCTGGTGTGTGACATGCTATGACGTTTGACCTTTACACACTTACCTGGACGACCCCCATCTGCTGCTGCCATCCCAGCCCTCCTTCTAGAGTGTTCTCCCCGAAAGTCTCCTTCATCGCCTGCCTCGGTGGCCTTGCTCCTACCAACTGACAACTCACCTTGGTCCCGATTTCATCTTTCCTTCCCATCTCCTGGGCAAGAGAGGTCAGCGGAGTGTCCCAAAGTCAGAACAGGAACTGACTCACAGCCCCTTCTTCCTGCAAAGTGAGCCCTGCCTGGAAATACTTCTTGACACTTGCCTGTGACTCACAGCCTGAGTCTTTTGAGGACCTACTGTGTGCTGTTGTCAGAACTGACTGCATGGCCACTGTATTTACTGCCTCCTCCCCACCACCAACTCTTTTTAGACCAGGTTGGCCTTGAACTTGATCCTTAGCTGAGGCTGCCCTTGAATTGAAAATCCTCTTTGATCCACCTGGCAAATGCTGAGACTACAGATGTTTCATTCCTGCTTGTATCTGGGTTCTCTCTCTCTCTCTCTCTCTCTCTCTCTCTCTCTCTCTCTCTCTCTCTCTCTCTCTCTCTCTCTCTCTCACAATGTAGCTGTGTCTGACCTGGAACTCTCCAAGTAGACTAGGCTGACCTCGAATTCAGAGATCTGACTGTGTGTGCTACTGATCCCAGTGCCTATGTCTGTCTGGGTTTTGTTTTTGTTTGACAGTGTTTCTTTGTGTGACCTTGGCCTAGACCAGGCTGGCCTTGAACTCACAGAGATCCGTCTGCCTCTGCCTCCCGAGTGCTGGGATTAAAGGCGTGCGCCACCACCGCCCCCCCCCCCAGGTCTCTTACTTTGTCAGAACTCCTGGCCTCTCTGTTCTCCCATCCTCTCCCCCCCTGGCTTTTCTCTCTTACAGCTGGAGGGTTTTCCATAATCACCATGTGTTAACCACAGTATTGTTAGATGCTGGTGAGCAGACTCTCACACATATTATCCTCATCTGATATCTCAGAAGGTAAGTACAGCTGGGAAGAGCGCTTTCCATTTGTTGTTGACCCAGAGAAGATGAGGGATGTCCTGGGCACCCCCAGAATCAGAGCATGCACCCTACACATTCTCCCTCAGTCTGTTTTGTCTCCACGTCAGACTTCCCTGCTTAGCACGGTCTCACCTGCTCAGCTTCATGGTAATCTCGAAGGTATAGGAAATTAGTGTTAAGCATTTACTCAGGGGCTGCATCCTCCGATCCATCCAGGCGATGCATTTTAACACATTTAACACCGTTCGGGTTAGAAACAGGCTGTAGCTACCTCGTCCATCAAGGCTAGCTTGTGATAGCAACCAGATGCCATCTTGGATTTACCGTCTTCTTTTTCCTTGGCTTTTTGAGACAGGGTCTTGCTGCACATAACTCAGCCTGGCTGGAAACTATATAGCTCAGGTTGGCCTCCAGCTTTCAGCCATACCCATGCCAGTTTCCAGCTCTAGCCAGTCAACTCTCTTGCCTCTCAGTACTGGGATCACCTCCATGCCTGGTGCCATCTTGGATTTTCCTCAAGTCAAAGTTTCCCACAAAACGCTGTTCAGGGATTTGGGAACAGGTTCTGTGTTTGCCAGACAACCCCTCTGGCTGATGGCCTGAAGCCCCCGAATTTGTTTTGTGTGTGCTGTGTGCCAAACTTAGGCTAAGAAAGAATTTGGATTCTAGTAGAACACACATTCCCTGAAGGCAGACATGTTTGGGTCTGTTTAGTTCATTTTTCTAACTCTGGCACTTAGAACAGTGCCTTACACATAGCAGGTGCTTAATAAACTCTTTAAAAAGTGAATGATGTATTAAATTCAAGCATAAACCATGGATGTAGAAATAACATTTAAAAAATTTTTTCCATTCTACAGTTGGCAAGGTGGTGGCTCAGACGGGCAAAGTCTCAGGGATCTGAACTGGGGCCTCACATTACTCCGAGCACCTGGCCCCGGGGCTATTCTGGTGCTACTGGACTGGAGGAGCTGCTCCCTGTGTGGACTTGGGCGTCCAGGAGCTGTCTGTGGGTTCTGTGTATGTGTGGATGGTGGTGACCCTGGTTCCGAGGATTGGACCTTGAAACCCTTAAGTTCAACCTTGAAGCACTTACTGTCTTTGGCCGCGCTTACTCTTTTTTTCTCCTTCACCCAGTTCAGAGAAAACAACACACCCCTCCCTCCTCTGAGACCATCCTTAAGGGTCCCCCCTCCCCTAAGTGCCCAGAGCCCTGGGTGAGGGATGGGGAAAAGGGGGAAAGAGTTGAGGATGAGGGTGGAGGTGCCAGGGAGGAGGGAGAGGGAAGGGGATGGGTTAAGAAGGCGTGTGTGATGCCAAGCAAAAAAGACAACATTAGACACAGATGCTGAGATGACGTTTATCGCGGCAAAAAAAGGTGAAGTCGCCGAGGGAGAACGGGTGGGGGGAGGGGTGTGGTGGGAGCAAGGAGTGGGTGGGTGGGGTCCATGGAAGCTAATACGTGGTGCACTAGGTCACACAACGGACACTGGGGGTGGGTGAGTGGGTGGGAGAGGTGGGCATGGCCCAGGCATGGCGATGGGGGGAGGGGAGGGGAGTGCGGTGACCCCAGCCAAGAGCTTCTGGAGGTGGCGGAGAGGAAGTGGGCGGCGGCGCTGGTCGGAGAGGATGGAAGGAAACCAGTTAAGAGGGGGTTGAATGGAGAAACTGGAGGCATGGCCACTTCACTCCCCACCCTACCCCTAAATTGGAATGCAGCAGAGCGGCCGGCAGGCAGGGGCCAACCGCGGGCTTGAACCTTTCCTTTAAGGGTTGGAGAAGGACCTTAGACGTTCATCTGACTACCTCTTTGCAAGAAAACACGCCTAGCAGAGGTTAGCTTCAGGTCCCAGGAAGGATTCAGCAGTCAGTTCTCCAAAGACAGCCCCATCCCCAAAGCCATTCTTGGCGCGCCAGCCTCCAACAGATGAAGTGGAGGAGAGATTCAATTCTCAACTACACCGAGGTTCTTCAGGGAGCTTGGAGGATCCATTCCACAGATCTCGAGAACAGAGCCCTACTCTCCCGCCTCTGGTCGGGGGACCTGTGCACCCCAGGCCTGTCGGAGTTAATACTGTTATCTCGAAATCCTTAGCATTTTGGCGGGGCACACCTTGGGCTTCTCCCAAATCGAACTGGGATGTGGACCATGCCTCCAGTAGCTGAGATGCCAACACAAATAAAAAAGGAAAGAGAGAAGGAGAGAGAGAGAGGAAAAAAAAAGAGAGAAAGACTCCCCACGTCGCCTGGCTCAAACCAAGTACAAAAGTGACTATTTACAATGAAGGCGTGGGGAGTGGGTGGGGCCGACTGCGAGGGCAGTCGGAGTGAGCGCTCGGCTGGGGAGGCCACGCCCCCTAGGCCCGCCTTTTAAAGGGTGCAAAGCCAAACAGCAAAGGTAATTCTAGAGGATCCCTGGGCCCCCAGGGGAGGCGGATCCTAAGGGGTGAGGGATGGGGATGGGGGCATGGGATGGGGAGGCATGGGCGCTGGGAGGAGATGGAGGAAAGGTAGCAACTGCCCCTAGCATCCCCCCTGGCCTCCCTGCCGGACACACAAGTTTTCCGTGGGATGAACACAGAAAGGGTTAATCAAAAGAGTTCGATGAGCGAATCTGACGGTCGAGTGGGGCGGGCTGGAGCAATGAGGCCGCAGGTTCCAGTGGTGGCCGGTGGTGATGGAGTCACTTAGAAGATGAAAGGTTGGTGGTTTTGGGGAGTGGGAGGAGGGTCGGGGGAGGGAGGAAGGAGGAGGGTCTCCCTATATTAGGTCTAAGGAGACGAGTGTCCTAGACTGGCTGAGAAGGGGTTAAAAACCCACAGTCTTCACCACCACCACCCTCCACAGAGACTCTCCCTCCCTCCTGCCACTCAGCGGGCGGTCGTCTAGGCCACTGGTGAGTGGGGACCCGCTGGACCGGACACACCAGCTGGGACATCAAGACCGCGCTGACTGTGGTGGAGAGGGCTCCGGACAGCGAGGCTGGGTGTCCAGACTCCACAGGGTGTAAACCAGGCTTCTCTGCCCCCGACCTGGGTATTGCGATTCTGTCCTCCCCCATGGTGACAACCAGTTCAGACTGTGACGACGACTGGCCTCGATTCCAGATGGCGCTTGGGGGCAGATGCATTGGGCACAGAGAAGGCCTGTCAGGCTGTCCGACAGGTGTGCAACCTAGTGAATCATCCTGGACGCCTAGATTGCCACCTTCACCGCCGCTCTGGTGAACGCTTTTGCAAATTAACCTTTTATCCTGGGCTCGAAACAGCAAGAGTCCGTGCAAAGGGGACCTCCTCTCCTCTGTCAAATAGCCGGAGACCAACCAGGCATAAAATAATAAGAATGGCGTTGTGGGGGCAGGGACGACGGACAGACGGACCGGCAGAAGAAACAGAACGGGTGGGATTCCAAGGGATTTGGTTGGCCAAGAGTGGAGGAAAAAAAAAAAAATACCGCGGGAAAACAAGTGGTACCGTAATATTCCGAGTATAGGTCTCCAACCATCTGTAAGACGACTCTTGCCAAGCTCCCAGGATTCCCACCTACAAGTCCAGTACAGAGTTGGCAAAATCACTGCCTTCCAATCCCCGCCCTGCTAATTATTGCGGCAAAATTTCCTCGCCCATGTAGAGATGGCTGGGAGAGGGCAAAGACGATGGGCTGGGCAGGCTGGCTCAGAGCCCTGCCCAAGACAGAATGGAGAAGGTGAATTTGGCACTTTGGAACCCTTTTTGTCTTAAGTGCTTTGAGGCCCCTCCCCAGCAACCACCCCCTTGGGCCAGCAGAAGAGGATGGAGTCTGTTTCTCCCTCCCCAATTTCTACAGATGTGCCCAGAAAGAGGCAAAAGGGGTTCTCCTTGGCTGGTGGAATTTGGGGGAGGGGAATCCAAAAAAGTAGGGGTTAGTTGAAAATGAGTATTTTTTTTCTTTTTCTTTTTTTTTTTCTTATAAAGATTCTAAGAAAAACTCAGGGTGAGAGGAACGAGGAAGGGGATCCAATTTAGCTCAGCATCTGCAGGTGTTTTCTTTGCCTCTTAAGGGGCCTCCTCTAAGAGAGGTGTTTTCCTCCCATCCGTCTAAGATCCTCTCCCCCCCACCCCCCCAGATCGGCTCAGTTCCAAGGAAGTTTGGCACTTTTTGCTTTTAAAGGGGAAATGAAAGAGTTGAGAATTTAGGAGGGGAAGGAGACAGACAGACGAAGATAGAGACAGGACAGAGAACAGTGGGGAGGGGGGGACCACAGGAGGGAAACCCAGTGGGCCATAGGGAGCCAGAGAAATAAAGAGAGAGGGGAATGCCGGGGGAAGGTATTGGCAGCTGGAGGGCAGATGAAGAGACACGTCAATGCAGGCAACACTTATTAACTTATTAAGCACCTACTGGGTGCTGGAGTGGGGTGCAAGGAGGCCACTCAGACTCTTGGAGACCTGAGTGGCTAACGGGCAGAGGAGGAGGCAATGGGTTTTGTTACTATTATTTTTAAAGTAATTCCCATCCCTGGTCTGCATCTGTGTCCCTTCTGGACAAACTACAGCACAGAAAGATTGAGGTCAGTTTGCAGAAGGACCTTCAAGGGATAGGGAAGATGACGGATGGGAACTTCCCAGGGTGAAATGGGGGAAAGGTGTGTGGCTCCCCACTCACCAACATGGTGAGTGGACCTGCTTACTCGACTAGCAAACTGCCTTTCAGATAGCCCTGGCTGGTGGGGTAAGGGGTCCCCAAGAAATGTTAATAGGGACGGGCATGTCACACAGGCATCCAAGAGGACACTTTTCAGAGCTACATCTGTGTGAGAGGAGTACTGGACCCAGACTCCAGCCAATGGGCTTATAGAAAGCAGGCTGCCTAGGGGAGGATACACATGGTTTGCCAATGGCCTTTCTAACCCACCTCCCTATCCCGGACCTTGCTTCACCCCCCCACTCCTTCCCCTCCTCATAGGGCCTGAGGGCTTTACAGGGGGACATTCCAGCTAGATTCATTACTACCCACATGCAGGTGGAGCTACTAGGAAATACTGTAAGGTCATTTAAGAAGTGGAGGGGAGCAATGGCCCTGTGGGCCGCCCCCATCTCCAATCCCAACAGCCCCGAACCGTAGAAGATATGTACAAAGTGGCATCAAGAATTGTTTTGGCACTAAAATCTCCATCAGGGCTCAGTGTGGAGATGAGGGGTAGAGGGCAGCAGCGACAGGAGGTGGGAGATGGGGTGTGTGTGAAGGAAATGGGGCCTGCCCTTCACTGGGGAGATGAGGACATGGAAAAGTCACCCCAGTGCCCAAGCTATTCCATTCCGGTGGAAGGGCTGGGGGCGGGGGAGGGAAGAGTCAGTGCGAGGTACCTCGAAGGCTATTGCTTTCTAGGGATTTTCACATTTTGATTTGGGGGTGGCTCTCTAGCTTGGGGGTAGGGGGCCTCCCAGGCTTCAGGGGTAGGCATTGTCTGGGTGGCTTCTCTCCTCTCCGCTCCTTTGTAGGGATAGAAATAAGGAGGCCAGATATCCCCAAAGCCATGGAGAAGAGCAGGGTCTGGAAGACCTAGGAGAGAGGATGGAGGAGGGAGCAGGAGGCATGGGGTGCCCCTCCCCCAGAGATGCTGATGATGGAGCCAGGGTTCTGAGGACCCTGCTTGGGGTTGGAGGAGTTGAAGGTGTCCTCCAACAGGAAGGGGGGAGATGGGAGGGAACAGGGGTGCGTCTCAGCAATCCTAGTCTATAGGTTTTTTTTCAGGCCCTGACATCTGTCTTTAGAGTTGATCAGAGCCACCATGCTAAGTGAATCACTCCCAAAACAACTCTCAGGGCAGCCTGCCTTGCCGCACTTCTGCCAGAATCTTCTGAGCCTAAGGTTGAGCACACTCAACATTTCTGACCTACCAGACGTCTCACTAACAGCTCCCTGGAAGCCAGCCACCAAGCCAACTGAATTCATCAGACCACGCAAGGCATTTCAGCCCGAGATGCCCTAAGCTTTGCAAGGCTCACTGAACTCTATACCAGACCACGCTGGCCTGACTGAGCCACCATACATTTGGCTCATCCATCAATGAAATGAAGCCACGTAGACACAGGCATGCACACAGAAGGCAGGGGTGGGGAAGGGGGGATCTTTAGCAATTATTTTCACTGGCTTCATCTCCCATTCTTGCCTGTGAAGGCAAGCTCATAGATGGCATGTGTGGATGGAGATGACCCTGACAGTATTTTTTTTTTCTCTTTAGAATCCTCTATGTTAGATCCAAGTCCCATCCTTCAGTCTCTTCCTAGGGATCCCCCTCCCCCAGGGCCAACACCCACCAAAGAGGAGTGTGGAAGGAGGAGGGGCATGAAGGGATTGGCCACTGTCCAACACAGGAAGCGCATGCTTCATCCCGATGATGCCACAAGAAGTGACCTCGAGATTCCATAGGAAGTACATGCCCCTGCCCCTGGCATCACGGAAGCGACTTTGAGGAAGGGTTTTTGTTGTGACCTCACGGGAAGTGGTTTTTTTTTTTTCTCTCTCACCAGTACAGGAAGTGGCCTCTGAGGAAATACTTCCTATGACATCATAGGGAGTTACTGGAAGCACCCTATAAATACTTGATTCAGTGACATCACAACGGGGACCCTCGTTTCTCTACCAAAAGCCACGAGAAGCCACAGCAACTGCTCCTGCGCCTCTCCCAACACCGCGGCTCTCAGGACCCGAGGCATCCCAGAGCTGGCATCATTTCCAGCAGGAACATATCTGCTCAACGAAGAGAGTTACACTTCCAACCGAGGGAATACTGCAGGGGGACAGTGGAGCTTAGGAAATGTGGGAATCCTGGGGCGGGGGGTGGGGCGGCTATGTTCCAAACCCCTCATTTCAGCTCTGACTCCTGGGTGGCTACCTCTACTCCTCTGCACTCCGCACTTCCCCAGGATCTGGAACTGCAATCAGAGAGGCAGGATGTTGTGTCTGGGGGAGGCACCTCATTCCAGGTGATCTGGAGGCTCCCTCCCCTCCTCCCATATGTCAACAAAAATCTTATAAAGGAAGGGGGGGGTCCTTATCAAAAAAAGAAGAAAAAGTTAAAAAGGAAAAAAAAAGGAGGGAAAGAAAGAGAAAATAACGCTTTGTTTTCTATTAAAATCAACAAAATGCAATATATACAGATATCACATAGACCTGGACCCTGGGAGGCGGGTCAGGCCCAGTTAAGCACAGGGAGGGAGAGAAGAGGGGTCAATTCGAGGCTGGGGAGGGGGCTCTCAAGAGCCCCCTCCCCAGCCGTCACTCAATCCTGCCTATGACTACCAGAAGGGAGGGTGCAGCCAGGCCTACCCCAGCCCCATCCCAAGCCAAGCAGGAGTCACACCAAGCTGAAGTCTGGCGGGAGCTGGGAGAGGAGGAAGAGGGAGGAGGAGCGGGAGGGGGTGGGGACGCACACCACAGGCCTCATCCCACTTTCTGTGGGTTTGAGGCCCTCACCCCCTGCTCGTAGGTGACCCGCTGGCTGATGAGGTATTGAGCGGCTTGCGTGGCCGCGGGGCTGCCCGTGATGGTGACCCGCCGGTTCCGCGTGCCGGGCAGGAACTCGCCCTTCTTGGAGATCTGGATGCGCGCACCCGTCAGCTCCTGGTACTCCACCAGCGTCTTGCCCCCTTTGCCCAGGATGGCCCCCACCAGGTTCTCGGGCACCGCGATCTCCACCAGCTCCTTGGCGCTCTCGGCCGCCAGCTTTTCGGCCGTCAGGAAGCCGCCGGCAGCCCCGGCCGCAGCCGCGGC